CCATTTATTTGGATTGAGCTCTGCACTAAACTTTTTTTTTTCTCTTTTTTTGGTTTTTTTCAAGACAGGGCTTGTCTGTGTAGCCCTGGCAGTCCTGGACTTGCTTTGTAGAGCAGGCTCGCCTCCAAATCACAGTTCTGACTGCCTCTGCTTCCTGAGGGCTGGGATTAAAAGCATGCGCTACCATGTCCAGCTCAGCACTAAACTTTTAAAAGAAAGAAAAAAAAATCAGAGTACCTTGTGCCAGAGGCCAAACATTATACCACCAGGCCAAACATATCTCCGAGCCTTTGAGAAATCAGGAGAGAGTTAAGGGGTACCTCTAGGCAGCAGGCATAAGCTTTACAACTAACCTCTCTTCCTATTTTCTTGAGCATTTTCCTTCTACCAAGTGTCTGTGCAGAGCAGAGCACACGGGACCTCTTGCCATCCTGAAGGCGGCCTAGTTCATAACTTCTTTGCTCAAAACACTGTGTGTGGGCCACTGTTTTGCCATCTCTAACTTGCTTTCGGCAAGCTAGGAACTAAGATTCACATCCTTTCCCATGACTGACCGCTTTTCTCCATTTGGAGCGTCCATACCTGGTCCTGGGTTAGAATTAGAACCTAAGGGAGCCACTCACCTAGGATTTCCTGAGCTCTGGCCTTTAGCCACCTTGGTGGTTTCTCGTTCTGCTTACACGACCACCGATAGTGATCACTGGGCTGGGAACAATACTGAAAGGTTTTTACAGAGATCCTCTCATTTAACCCTCATGAAGTATTGCCTTCTCAGGTGTAGAGACACATGCCTGTCACCCTCCGGCCTCGCTGTAAGCACATTGATTTGCAAAGAATCTCACGCAGGTGGAGACTTGGATTTAGTCTTCACAACTACATTTTACTTAACCCAACAGCCCTCGCTTGCCAAGAATGCCGAGTTGGGGGAACAATTCATGGGTCATGGATTGGAGAAAGCACAGGTTCGTTATGTCCTGGGGTGACGCCAAGGCAGGCGTGAGCGTTCCACATTCCATCCAGATGTGCACAGTGCTCAGGAATCACCGCAGCTCAGTGCTGTCAGCGGGGATGGTCCCCTCCTTTGTTTCTCACTTTAACTCTATTCTTCCTTTTTGCCCTTAAGTATGGCTAAAGACTCTCCACTCCACTGATCCATTCAGCTGGGTTTCATAGTTTCAACCCTTCCTGTCACTTGTGCACACTTGCTGTCCACAAGGTCCTGGTGTGCTGTGGCCCTTTTCATGTCCTTTCTCGGGGGATTTTATAATTCCCCCTGTGGTTTCCCCCTTTACCCGCTGGTCACTTAGAAGAATGTGCTCTCATTCCCACATCCATGAATTTCTCTACTTCCCTTCTGTGGCTGAGTCTGCATTTAACTCCACTATGATCAGAGAAAGACTCCGGGAGGCAGCTTTGCTAGGGGTGGATGTCTCCAGGAGAGCATGGGTCAAGATGTTCATTTTCCTCTAGAAAGCAGGAAGGACCAAGCGCTCTACAGCTGTGACTGTCAATGCACCAGCGTCAGACGTCTGAGCTAGGAGAGGGCATGTTTAGTCACCCTTTGTGGTTGGCAAGGCACCCTGGTTCCATGCTCCCTAAGGACTGTCCTTGTTCTCATCTTCGTCAGTGACAAAGCAGCCTTGTGAAGAGTTGAGAGTCCATGAAATGGTATAGCATCAAAATGAGAACTTGGCAGTCTGGCTGGTAGGGCCAGGTCAGCGTCCAGTACTTCTTGTTATAAACAGCATCTCCATGTATATAATTATACCGAGGTTGTGAGATGCACAATTCATTGTTATACAGAACTGTTCTTCTATCAGCAGCCAACTAGCATCCATGGCTCTGACCCTGTCTAGGGGGCACCACCCATGAGAACTACTGGAGTCTTAAATCCAACTCCTGAACCACATTAAAGTGAGGTACACCCCCACAGAATCACCTAACCAGTTTGAGCTTAAATGAATCAACTTTGTCCCCTCACCCCCCCCCCCAAAAGGAAAAGCTGTCAGGACACAGGACAACATTAAGCCACCAAGCAGCAGACATCTACATAAAGACCCACGTGAGGAATATGGCTACACGTAGCCACTGCCACCCGGCCCACTTCCTCCTTACTGACAGATCTTTTAGCGAAGGCATTGGTGTGCCTACTGAAAAACTGTTTTCCCAGCCTGCCTTGTGACTTGGCTGGCAGACACTATGTTCATCAAGTAGAAGCTGAATCTATGTGATTTCTGAGCCCTTCTCAGTTAGGAACGCCCATCCTCTTTCCAGGCTTGAGAACAAATGTCATTTTCAGCTGCAGCAGTGACTTTGTGGCTATGGGGACAGTGCCCCTATAAGGGAAGAAATTCCATGTGTGATGCCACCCTCTAAAAGGCCCTGGGGAGATGTTTCTTCTTCCTTTCTTACTAGTGACAAAATAATGATTTTAAGGAATATTTACCTAAGAAAACATGATCTGGGCTTTACTCTGAAATGACCAGTTTAAACATGAATGGTTTCTCTCCCTTTCCAAGCAACCCAGGAAGCTGTTTGAAAACTGCTGGAGAGGGCCGACAGGGTTCCAGAACCTCCAAACAAGCCTTCACAGAAACCACTCTGCTTTGTTAATGCCACCAGGCTCTGACACAGGGGGAGCCTGACCAGTGTGAAGAGCTGAAGATCATTACACTATACTTGTTAACTCACCTGTATCTGACCTGCAAGTATATTTAATTTGCTTTCACGTTTTTCTCCCTTTTAAGTTTAATTTCTATGTATTTAAAAGTGATATTTCATAGAGAGTCTCCATTTCTCTTGAAATCCTGAAAGGCCTGGCAGCATGGTCCCACATCTGTGACAACGAAAGGCTGGAGATGCAAAGCTTCTTGTCCACTTAGATGACACAGGGGCTTAACAGCTGTCACCTGGTCAGCCTCACCCATCAAAATCTTTATGGCCCCATCTGAAAGTGACCTTGCTCTAAGGGACAAGAAATCTGACTTCTTTCTTTGCAAGAGGAAACAGCATCAAACGAAGACACTGAACTGAGACTTTCTGGAAAATATTTTCTAGGCCAGCGAGTCAGCTCAGTGGGTGAAGGTGCCAAGTCTGATGGCCTGAGTTTGAGCCACAGGGGTGGAAGGAGAGAACCAACTCCTGCATGTTATCCTCTGACCTCCACAGTAGCTCATGCAAACACCACATAAATGCAGTAATTACAGCAATTGCTATTTTCAAGTTTTCTGGCTATGGATTATTGGTTGTGCAATTGTGCTGGCTACGCAGCCACGTTCTGCCGCACAGTGTTTGCTGTGTTGTGCTACCAATTACCCAGGAGGCCACTGGTTCATTCTCCACAGGTTTACTTCTCACTAGCGGTCTGACCCAGCTGAGCAGGCAGATGACTGTTGTCCAGGCCTCCCCAGCAGCCTGGGCCCACCACCGTGGGTACTGCTAGATGCCACACCAGGATGGAAAACTGGACCACCGGTCTCACACCCAGCACTCACCTTCACCCAGTTTCACTAGCACCAAGACACGACATCGGCTCATTCAGGGCCTGGGAAACGGCACACGGGGCACTTGGCAGGCAGCGTCTCTACCCCATGTGACCCTCAGGGGATGGTTTTACTTTGCTTAAGCTTGGTTATAAATCTGCAACACGGAGTGACATAGTGCACAATGGTCCTTTCCTCCCGCCCTCCTGAGGTGATAGGGGGCAGCAAGTGGAATAATTCATGCAAGCATCTCACTAAACACTGAGAGAACTCAAGGTTAAAATGCAGGACACGCACTGTGGTAGAGTCAGTGTGCCTTCACTTCTGTGCACACACCCGTCCCTCTATTCACATGTGAGTCAAAGAGCAGACACGACACTGGGGGCTGAAGGATTCAGGGATGCTTTCACCCCTTCTTCGTCATCCACTCCTTTTATCTGGATCTAGGCTGGGGCGGAGGTACAAAGAAAACATCACTTACCCCGATCTCTCCTAGACCATTTCTCTACTCTGACTCAATGACTAAGTGCAGACGTTTGTTTAGCATGCTGTGTAAGCAAGCCCAAAAAACTCACTGGTTCACCACACTGGACTGTGGTGAAATCACCCTTTAGTTTGCCTTTGGGCTTTTTAAGGCGGGGATAGACATCTGCTTCCATCATCTCCTTAGGGAAGGAAAACCCAAAACATCAGACAGTAGGGTGGAGATGAGGAGGGGATGAGTGCTCTGCACCCTTTTTCCTAGAACTGTATCCACTGGCCAGAACCTGGTCACATGGCCACACCAAGTCTCATAGATGAAATCTAGAAATGGGTCGCAGGAAGGAGGAAAATGTAGGAGGGGCAAGTGGTGGATCATCCAAAAGTAAATCTGCACTGGATTAGAATTTAAGGCTCAAAACCCCCAACTGATGCCAGCTAGTCTCCCAATCCTCAGGACTTAGATCTCTCTGATCAAATAAAAACCTCTTTAGTAAGTATAGTCTTCCTCGTCAGGTGGAATGAAGGATAGAGGTATATCAGACAGCAAATAAGCACTTAAGAAGCTCAGCCAAAGAAAGAAGAGGAAAAAATGAAAGAAAGAAAGAAAGAAAGAAAGAAAGAAAGAAAGAAAGAAAGAAAGAAAGAAAGAAAGAGAGAGAGAGAGAGGGAGGGAGGGAGGAAGGAAGGAGGAAAGAAAGAAAGGAAGGAGGAAAGAAAGGAAGGAAGGAAGGAAGGAAGGAAGGAAGGAAGGAAGGAAGGAAGGAAGGAAGGAAGAAAGAAAGAAAGAAAGAAAGAAAGAAAGAAAGAAAGAAAGAAAG